GGTATATTGACAGGAACGTATGACAAAGGGAGGCTAAGTGATGCAAAACAAGAGTAAAAAAGCGAGTCCAATTGTTTATGTAATACAACGAGATCACTCAATGAACAGGAGGCAGTAGTGTACACTGAAATAAAAATCTAGTGGACTAGGTAAAGGGCTTGAAAATAATAAGTTATAGACGAGTCAGTGAAGAGTTCAAAAACGTTAGACCTACACATCATACAAAAATGTGCATTTCATAACAATCTCGTGCTGTCATAGTTTTCTGCGAATATTTTTGCACCAAGCTCTGACTCGACGAGGTCCATTTAATCCCCTTTGAAGGAATGAATGTTCTATCGTGGATAGACTTTCTTGTAGATAATCGAAGTGTGTTCCATGAGTCGTCTGGTGACCGTGGTAGCCATCAGCAAGCGCGCTTCGAATCGCTCCTCATCAAGGAGCGTCCATTCGCGAAACATCTGCAAAAATAGTAACACAGTGAGCAGCCAACGCATTAAATCAGCGACGCTTTTATTTTGAGAACAAACATGTCCACCGTTTTTCTTTTTTACTTGCTACCAGCCTTCTCGAAATTGAATGGCGCACTTCATTAGTTTTTGTTCTCCTCTGCGCAACAAGCAGACAGCTAGGTAAGAGATCATTGAAGCTGAGGAGAGAGCAAGAGATTTCGAGAGGAAAGGGCATGGCATTCCAAGGAGAAGACACATATAAGAAACCACGACGGTAGTCATGGCCGCATTTATGGGGCTTGCGAGGATCTAACAAGGGAGGTCCTGCAGCACAAGCCGCGGAAGGTCATTTTCGTAATCAGTGCAATGCCACTATAACTCAATTCAGGATGAATCGCCTTTACCTAACATCGAAAATATTGAGCCAGCTATAGTTAATATTTTGCATAACTGAGCGGCCAAAAGGTTGATCTCCATATTTTCCAGAGAATGAGGAGCCCTGTTCCAGAATGAACAACAGCAGGTACCCAAGCTAGCGATGGCGAAGAGTGAAGTGTGACACTCAAATTAGTGAAGACACTAGGTTCTCCTCTTCCTCAAGAAATGGCAAGCTGATTCCTCAGCTCTGCCAATGGCTAGGCATCTTGCTGGTAACTGTTTTTGATAGCTTTATCGCCTTCAAGGATCGCGACGTGACATGATGCGTGCCCTAGAGTAGGGATTCGATTTTCGTGAAAATTAACAGGGTATATGGCTTCGCCACGCCGACCTTTTCCAAGTCGCTCAGTTATGCAAGATGTTAACTATAGCTGGCTCAATATTTTCGATGTTAGGTAAAGGCGATTCATCCTGAATTGAGTTATAGTGGCATTGCACTGATTACGAAAATGACCTTCCGCGGCTTGTGCTGCAGGACCTCCCTTCTTAGATCTTCGTAAGCCCCATAAATGCGGCCATGACTACCGTCAAGGTATCTTATATGTATGTGTCTTCTCCTTGGAATGTCATGCCCTTTCCTGACGGGCTTTTCATATAGACTCATTTCGAAGTCAGATCGAAATCTTATTTTCCTCTGACTTCAGCTACGAGGGTCACTTGCTGCCCTGTACGAATGAGACTTCACCAGCTTTGAAGAAAATTGGTTCTACTTTGATGCCATTCGGCACCAATTTGCTGCCATTCTGGCGTCACTATTTTTTCTACTAGTTTTTGGTGAGAACTTACATCACTCACAGCTCTGATTATGAGTATGAGATTCGTTCTTGGCGCTGACGTTAACCGGCGCCAGTTTTGTGTCAACTCAAAATGAAGCGTTTATCACAGCTGGCGATGGAACCACAGACCGCTTCTTCGCCCCGTCCCGAAGACGAGGATCTGCTGCGGTAACCGTACGCAGAAACACCAGTGGCTCAGAGTCGGCGAAACTAAGTTTCACTGAAGTTTGGATAACTATGGGAAATGGCGATCTTGTCAAGTTTTCGGGATTGTGACCTCATCATCTACCGATGGCCTATCGGCAGGAGCAACAATGGCAAGTACTGCCCATTGCCAACTGCTCTACACGGTGGCAAAAGAACTTTATGGGAAACGTGGATTACTCAATCTGCTCAACGACAACGCGCGCCCGCTGTTTCTAGGGTCTTACGCAGAAAGATTTCCATACAGACTACTCCACGGTGACCCATTCGCAGTATTCGCCATACCTACCTTCTCCAGATGTCACATTTTTCGATCGCTCGCTCAGCACCTGGAGAACAAAAAGTTCGACGATGAAAAAGGCTCAAAATCCCATATGCAAAAGATTTTGACGGGAAAATTCCCTTGCTACAAACGTGGGTGGTATCTAACACTTGTTCGAAAGTTGGCATATTGTATCATGACTACGATCCTGACGGTCAATACGTTAGTGATTTTAGAATAAAGTAAGAAAAAATATTTTGAAAATGGGCTGTGGGCTGTTTCAAAACCTTCTTTCCAACCTAATAGTAAAAAGCAGTAGGAGTGAATGAGAAGGAGTTCCCATTTAATGTTGTAGTTTGAAGCTCTTATGCAAGATGAAAGGGGATGACACTATTTCCCCGTCCATCTAATGTTTATACTTTTACACTCACCAGACGTACAGCTGAATCGTGTGAGAAGCTGATCCTTCCAATACGAACAAGCTTGAATCGCAATTGATTTGGGCCAGCCTCTGCCTCTTCTACGGTCATGAATCCTGAAATAGTACGCTACTGCCAACATTTCATAACAAAACAAAGAATAGCCATATAAACGCAGCTATCCAGCCTCTTAAGGAAGCTTTTTGCGCATGTTTGTAGGCATTTTATGTCTCATCGAACACACGTCCAGTGGCTTGACTTCTCCCAAAATCGAAGGCACCATAATGTCTACGCTCAGCAACGTTTATAACAAATATTTACCACATTTGAGACGATGCCCCGTTTCCACTTTTCGGTCGCGTGGGACGGACGCGATTTTGTGGGTGCCGATAACAAGTTCTGAGCGGCCACTGGCAAAAGTGATGTATATCATTGCAGAACTTTTTCGGTATCAGAGAATCTATTTCTGTTGTATTTCTGAAAATCTGTTTTTTGATGCTCGAACTGTGTGGTCTCTCCAGGAAAACCCGCGCACATGTTCACACAGGCAAGGGTGTGGTGTGGGATCAATACCGGGGGAGCCAAGCACTTCTCTATATCAGCTGCTCTGCCAACAGAATCACCAAGTGTAGCAATGCGGCCCATCCATCAATTTAGAATATGAGAAAGTAAGTTTTGCTAGCAATGTGGGCAAGGTCAACCGTCCGTTGGACCAATTCCGGTGTGTGAACGTGGGAGTCGTATTTGGCCGAAGGGTCGTATTGGCAAGAGTCAACGTCGCAGTGCGTGGAATGACGAAATGTAACACAGATGCGAATAAGCTCTAGGCTCAGGCTCACAGCATTAAACGATTAGAATGAGGACGTTTGCTGTCGCGACAGTAGGTAAGGGTATTACTTTCGAGTGCTTTTCCAACTGATAACCACAAACGAGTGCGTGGGGTACCTCAGTGCGGGCGACGGACTTTTGGCTCGTCCGGTCTGGCACGCGGCAAATTGCGCGGCGAGCGGCGCGGCGATCCGGACGCTTCGCAGGAACTCAACACGTCAAAGCGTGTGAAGATTGCGGATAAAATCTGCAAGGTTCTGCAATTCGAAAGGGCATGTTCCATTGGGGGGAGGGGAGTGAGCCAATTACTGTGTTTGGAACCGAGCCTTAGGGAGGAGAAGGGATTCTGGGGTAATTTGTGTTCTCTCTGGCGTTCCTCCCCTCTGCTGGGAGTTCGTTTCGAATGTTTCTCCTTGGGACATGAACGCCTCGATCAGCAGAACATATATAGTTACATTAAGGAATCTTCCACGGACCATGGACCAGTGGGCGGGACCGGAAGTGGTTTTGCGACGAAATGCATGGTAGGTACGGATCCACGTTCATGGGAAGGTTTGAAGTGAATCCTGTTCACGTTCGTGCGTTCGACACGTGGATCCGTACCTACCATGCATTTCGTCACAAAAACTTCCGGTCCCGCCCACTGGTCATATGGGGAAGAATTCCTTAAATAGCTTCACCCAAAGACCAATGGTATATTTGAGCTTGTTTGGTGTAGTGAGATTGATTTATTTCCATGAAGGTCCTCACTCCTATCCTATCAGAATCATGCGGATTTTGTCCGCAATCTGCACATGGTTTGACGTGTAAAATTCTACCCGAAGCACCCGCGGAGCCTTGTCTCGTCCAGATCGCCGCGCGTGCCGCCGCGCGACTTGCCGCGTGCCAGTCCGGACGAGCCAAAAGTCCCGAACCCAGTGCGAATAATTATGTTAGCGCACAATATGCGGTACATGGAAAAGATGTCGGTCAACGTAGACTAAGGTGTCGATAACCTAGACGATAAGGAAGATCACGGTTGAGGTCACTAGCAAAATTGGAAAGAGATTCCTCTGGTCGGCGCTTCCTGAACTCTGTTATATATTTAAAGCAAATAGGTTCACTTTGTCTTGCTCTACCTATTGAATTTCTGCTGCAGGGGTTTCTGAAGGAATGCGAAGTTGCAAAAAGTAGATTTTGAAGAATTATAGTCATTGAAAGAAAAAAACCTTTGTGCACAAAAAACGGTCAAATGGGTGATTTTTCAAAGAATTAAGTTTACAAATGTTTAGAAACTTTTTTGATGGGAAACAGTCTAACAATCAGTTCTTGAATTTTCTTACCACTCCTTACACTTTCTTATTTGAAGAAAGTATGACCCTTCAAGAAGGAGTGCGCTTAAGTGTGAACCCTCATTTCTCTACTCCACTAACTAACAAAGTTTGGAGGAGTCTAAACAGACCTGGAAGTTTTGTGAAACCACGAAACAAAAACAAATCTTACTAGCATTTCGATAAATATTGTTATTAACAGAACGCCAGGCTGAGGGGAGGATTGTGCGCGCCAATGCAAACGCGACGCTCAAAAACTGCTCAATTCTGTTTTATGTTCATACAGGTACTCTCGTGACTTGAGTGAGTTCTGCTAAAGCTTTAGTCAAACTATTCTTTTTCAGTTACTGATGAAGGACAGCTTCACTTTTGTGTTTTTTTCCTGTAGATATTCATCTCTCCTCGCGATCGTAATGCTAGCCTTTTCCATGGCAGTGTTTATTAGTGCTGGGGAAGGGTCGTATCGACTCTCCAAAAAAGGGGAGGGGTTCGGAAATTTTAAAATCGTTCCGGAGTGAAGGCTGGCCCTGAATGCAGGCATGCTCGCTGTTCTGCAAGGTGTTAGGCTCTTCAGTCTTATCCGTCGGTAACGGCCCCTAAAGTGCTAAAGACTCACACTCAAAGGGCATCGCCTCCTTCAAATGCGAGTTCTTAGCACTTGAATATCGTCTCGGTATTTTCAATGATAAAGCTAAGGATCAACTACTGATCAGTATTTCTTCGAATTTTTATAGTTTGCATACGAAAGGAGGGCCTAATTTGTATTAAAACTCCTTTTCACCCAATTCTATGATTTTGATCCTCTATCCCATTCGTATCCGAATTCCACTTCTAAATTTGGATAAAATCAAACTGGAGCCATCCCCGCATTCTAGGTCAACCCACATCCCACGATTTCGAAAATTTTACGACCCACCCCCTCATGAAGACAAAACCAAACTACGTCAATTACATAAATATAAAACTACATCAAGACTACAACTCACGTCCTAGGAAACCATTAGTCAAAATACCACAATTTCCCTTTAGAAGACGAAATCCAAAGAAAAACTCGAAAAATTTCAGGAGCATCATCCGGTTAATTAGATATAACGACCTTCCCGATTCCTTTGCCGACCTGTCACAGACCACAATTTTTCGCCAAAATGGAGGCCCTGCTCTACAGATGTCGTCTAGAAAAGGTGGAGATGGAAGTTCGTCATATAATCGAGAAACTACGCTGTAACACTGAAGGTCTCTCCATGGGCTATGAGCTATATGATCTACTCGTCGCTGCTGACAACACATTAATCAGCTCAAGAGACAAATTCTTCAACGAACAATTGGACGGAGTTTCGCTCGATCCCACATTCACTGCGGAATTCATTCGAAAGGAGCTCGAGTTTCTGGAAGACTTCCATCGAGGTATAGAAACCGAGATCAAGGAAGCAGAGTTCCAAGCGAAGAACGAAAATCACGAATCCATCTTCGAAATATAGTGAACATGATCACTCAACTTCAGCATGCATTCGCAGAAAAGATTGATACTATGCAGCAGCAAATGAGGCAGGAACAGGAGGACCACTCTGCATGTTTTGAGAGCACGAACGAAAAATTAGACATGTTACACAAGTCGTTCAAAACGAAAGAAACACCTCCTATCAGAGATGGTTCTAAAAAAAGGTAGTCACTGCATGATTCCTGAAACGATACGGAAGAACAAGATGATCTTTTTGACCTGAGAGACGAGGTAGTAATCGCTTTCGATGACGGTAATGATGACGAGAACACTACAGAGAAGGAGCTGACAATTCAGCAGCAGATGGAGAAACTGGAGCAACGTCTGGGTTTTTTGAAAAGGCGGACTCACGAAAGTCGTAAGGTTCGAGTCGTAAAGAAAAATCAACTATTGGGTTGATCCATAATTTGTGACCGATCTTCGTTCAACTTCAAATTTCTCCCGTCTCTGCAGCTGTTATTGCGAAATATGTTGGCGAGTGATAGAGTAGTTTCGCAACTTCAACCAGGCACTTAAAGAAGGATTTTCGCGCAGCTATTCAATTGACTGAGTGCCGAAATGGATCAGCGTCAGCTGCGCTCGATTATGCTTTATGAATTCAAACTTGGGACCAGTGTGAGGAGGACAGTAAATAAGATCAACACTGCATTCGGTCCAGGCACTACTGCTGATCGGACGGTGAGCCGATGGTTCAAGCGCGTTCGCGAGGGCGATACGAGCTGCCAAGATCAACCTCACTTCGGGCGTTCAGTCAT